TTTAGTTCTGATAAATTAGTTTTAAAGCAGGTTAAGCAAGAAATAAATACTTGTTAACACATATTTTCGGAAGCTCAACTCAAATGTCAATTTAAACATTTCAACGGATAAGGGAATGGCGAAATCGTAATTAATTAGGAAAGATTTTAAAGAGTAGGTATAATGTTTTTGAAGTTTATACTAGTTAGTAAAATCCAAATGCTGTTATCGACGCAAAAATTACTTAAAAGTACAGTAACAAAAACACAGACAGAAAACAATTATAATTGAACCAAACAAGAATTTTTCAGTTATCCTGCAAAGCGGATATTTGCACTGATAAATATTGTATCTATGGAATTCCAGTGCGGATAAATTTAAATACCCAAGGACAATGAAATGAATGAACGGCGATAACGGACATTTAAATAGATAATATAAACCTGTCGCCACCTACGTTGCTATTTGTTTTAATTGTCTAAATGCCCACATCTCTCAATTAAAAATTGGCTTGGCTGTCACTCAAAGTTTTGATTTTTTACCACTGAATGAATTAATTAAAAATGTTATTTAAATACAATATTTATCTGCAGAACCGGTGTAATTTTTATCCATGATTGTTTTTAATCACATATATTTACTGTCCTCCATTCATACGCATGAAAGATTTGCTTAATAAAACTTATGTTACGTATTTATAAACGCAGCTGGTAGTGTGGAACTCTTCTCATGATTTATAAGGTTCAAATCCCACTATTCAACAGTCATGCTAGAGATAACACCGTGAAAGAGTGAGTGCGCAGCCGTCCTGAAGCTTTTTGTCTGCCAATCAAGAAAAAAAGATACCATAAACCATTCTCAATTAATTAGACAACTCCATTGATTGTGAATTTCTTGAAATTGACGTTTACCAAAGAGAATATACTTCTAGAATTGCCTCATTTCGTCATACCACTTTTGTGCAACTTCAATATACAGACTACTCCAAAATATACCACCGACATGCGTACATCTTGACCCGTAATTGATTAAACACTGTGCTAAAAATAAAACAGATTAAATAACAAAAAGATAAAAATGTGCAAAAGTTTAAAAAAATAACTGAACGTTGGACAAGAGAATAATTTGAACAGTTGCGTCAATGACCAATCAAAACAGGTTTTTATGTTAACATCTACAGAATGTCCGTGAAAAAAAGATAAAAGGTCAGATAAGATGATACGCGTGTATTGACCTCGTCAAAAAATAAACACAAAGTGGTATTGACCTTGAAGTATTGTAACTTATCTAACGACACATTCTCACTATTGTTTAATTTTAACGAATTTCTTAAAGCAGCTTACTCTATTCGAACCCTTGATACAATCGAAAGACTGTCATTGAAATGTTTGACATGGTAATATACCAAATGCAATTTCACCAGTTATGTAGCATAGCATTTAGGTTTTTAACATAAATCGAGGTATTATTAAATGAAAATTGTGTACGTAGTAGGAACAGAATATTGGACAAGGGAATCATTGGTACGTATTGTTCTATATATTCTATTCTTGAACTAGCACATTTACGTTTTAATCAATCAAAGCGTCGAATAAGGAATAATACATCAATTTGAGATTAAACAATCGAGGTTAGTCCAAACATTTTTGAGCATCTTATAAACCTGGTTATATCATCAGATGTTATTGTTGATCCAAACAATAATGACGTGATGTTTCTGAAGTCCTTATGTCATTAAGAACAAAAAAGCAGGATCTTAAATTGTTAAATCTTATGTAATACGAATTTCTTCGTTATCTCTCTTAATTCTTTCTCTTCATAGCTTTTAGGTGGTACCACAGACACTAGACCATTAAGTCCAGACCTTAAGACCAATGGTCTAGTCTGTGGTGGTACAGTGGAACCTCGGTAACAAGACCCTCGATAACAAGTCACCCTTGATAACATGTGTCATTTTCAAATCCCCTAGAATTTATTTTACCCCTAATCACATGTTATTGCAAACCTCGATAAGAAGACAACCTTGATAACAAGTCTTATTTTATAATCTCCATGAGAGTCTTGTTATCATGGTTCTACCGTATAAAAAAATATATTTTTCACTCTTTATATTTTTTGCCATTTCAAAAGAATATTCCGAATCATGTGTTGAAAATCTGTTGTACGCTTGTTTCCTTCTTGAACAAACTTTTCTTTTAAAAGGCAAAGATCTTCAACCACAACCACGATATCCAAAATACATCTTTACCCCTAAATTGAGCCTCTCAGTTTTAAAGGAAGATTCCCAATCTTGTGTTGAGAAATAGTTGTTTTCCTGTATGGAAATGTGTTGGTTCTCAGTCGAATTCGAAAGGGCGAACGAACTTTGAAGGGCAACTGGTTGTTTCCTTGAACAAAAACTGTGCCTCGGCCGTCCTGCTGCAACAGTTGCGCCTTTCCTTCCCAGGCAACTAGTTTCCAGTTTCCTCCAGCAGGGGAAACTTGTCAAAACAACTGAGGAAGTAGGGCGAGTGCATGTTTTATGGATATTGGTACTGTATAGGTGATGATAAAGTACACTGTTGAAAGTGTTAAGTTAGGTTGTATGTTGTTTCCTTAGTACAAGATGAACAAAAAATATATTGAGTACCCTAAACATTCGATACACTTCTATGGAAAATTTTCTCTATTTCGAATACGTTTTGGATCCGTGTAAGCTCCTCCGACCACTGAAGTCGTCGGACTTTAGAATTTACGTAAACAAACTTCGTTTTCATCTTGATATTTGTTCAAACATAAATATCCTAACCAACATATTCCGCACTGTGTGTTGACTGTTTATTGAAAAGTTCTTTAGTTAGTCAACAATTCCAGTGGAAAAGTTCACTTGCAGTATTTAAGACAATGTCGCCAATTGGTGATTGCCAGTCAAGTGTGTTGACCGATTGTCACAGTTAACGAAGTAGACTGCAGCCTCATGAGTTGTGTAACTCGAGATCAGCTGTTCGCTACAATGTTAACTTCCGGTACCACTCAGCACTTCCGGAAATTGTGGGTTATGGCAATTTTCAGCAATGGAAAACCCTCCATAAACATTTGGATATTTAAGTGTGAGTTTCTTGGTTCGTTCGTGTATGTTTATTTGTCGAAAAGAGTTGTTGGTTTTATAGTTGTCGCTTTCGGTAACTAGCTGTTCGGGAAATACCTCTGCATTAAAGATTGGGAACGGACAAAAACATATCTCCCACAATTTGGAAAATGCACTATATATATGCTCTTTATATCTTGAGATATTAAATTCTATTCATTTACCTCGGTTAGTAAAAGACCCAATCGAACCCTCCTACAACCATTCAGCACTTCTATGACGTCATCAAGAGAAGTGCTCGTCACTTTAATAGTGTGGTTTTTCGCAAAAACCAGGGTTTATCTTATTTAATTCATCAGCGACGACGCCGATTCGTGGTGGGGAATATTTACAAGTGAATGCAAGTAAACTGTGTATGTGATAGAGTTGTTTTAATTTTTCACTGATTCTCAGACATCTACCGATATAGCTAGGTTCAGTTAAAAACCCGAACGTTTGGATTGTCTTTTTGTTATCATAACAATTACACTCACTTATCATCTACTTTGCTTAATCTTTAAGATTAGGAAACTCATGCTTGTTCTTCCTTCTTGAAGGAAATATTATCAGGCATTGCTTCTTCTCCGTTATACATACTGTTATTCGTTCTTTTGTTGATTTGTTTGACAATTGTCTTTGTCATGAACTGGCAAATAGTTTTTACGACAGTAAAAAATTTCATTTCGTTGCATACTTATAGAAATGCCTCACTGAGCGATGTCTTTATTTTTTAATTTATTTTACATTTTAACGGACAGCTCCCCGAATAAGTACGAACCTTTGGAAGAGACATTCTAGACTAGTGCTAAAACAATATTTGGTGTCTTCCTGAGAGATTTCTTTAGGACATTCTGGTCTTGCACATTATTTCTAAGTAATGAGTGTTGTGCGATACAGTTTTAAGTTGTTACACCTGCCAGGTAGCTGATCAGCTGATCGTAGGAAACGCCACACCCGCACGACGCGAGCTCTCTGTTGCAACACTGTGCATTTACTATGTCAAGGTACGCGAGTCGCCATCCGGCTGTGTCTCTAGTACCTGCTGTGCTATGAACATTGTATGCCAAGTACACCGTCGTGGGCTCTGCTCGAATTCGAGCAGGGAGTGCACATAATGAGACATTATTGAATTCCCTAAATACCAATGACTCTGAATAGAGTGTGGTGCATTTTTTAATGACAGAATTCCATTTATCTTTAGTTGTAAAAGCGAGGTTCGATAATACACTATGTTACATTTTGTTTCAATTCGAGCCCATTAGGTATTTTTGTAGTAAAATTTACAAGAGAAAACGCTTTTAAATAATTATTTTGACATGATAAAAATGTTAAAGCTATGGTGAAATGTATGTTGAAACATTAAATTAAACTCGCTGCAATAGTTTAAGTTTTTAAAATATTAAAAAAAATTTTGATTATAATTCGAGCACAATTAATGTGTAATTAAACTCTAACGTGTGTATGAATGCATTGGGCGTACAAGGAAACTCTCAGTACGGTGTTTGGGAAATTGTTCATTAAATTTCAATTCGTTATAAGTGTTCAGTTCTCATCCGAAGACTTATTCGTGGTTGCTGTTTGTTTGTTTAGGACTGGTAATGTGTCATAAACTATATTTCTTGCTGGCAATCTACTTTGGACAAGCCGTTGTGATGATGGAGCGGCAGTTAAATGTTAGTTTTCACCCCCTTGTTTCTACCCTTAACTACTTTTTAGAAAACCAATTGTCCACATTTATTATCCAACCCTTTTAAAGTATAACAATGATATTACAATCAACATAAACACTATTAAAAGGGTTACTCACTGTGGACAATAATTCGTCAAGTTGAAAGTAACATAATGTTTGTATTGTGATTTGATAGCTTTAGGTTGTAAATGTTAGGCTGTAATCAGTGTGTATGTGATGTTGCAGGTGTGTTGAACGCTCGGCCCCCAGTCCCTGGGCAAGGTAGGCCTTAAATAACATTAACTTAAACTAAAATATGTTTGTCTATGGTTATGTGTAGTTTTTGAGATTTATTCGGTTATACAGTACTTTTAGTCTTCGAGTTCGTTTTTACGACATTGTAGCTTAGTCATTGGTGTTTGGAGGGATTTGAACACGCATCGCCGGTCCAGAAATCCCACGCTTTAACCACCAGATACCCACACTCTTTTCTATGACGATATCTATCCAACCACCCTGAAAAATATAATTATCATCTGAGTGGTTTGGTGATAAAAAGCTTATTACAAGCTTTATTCAAACGATTTCGCGAACCAGCATAATCGGACTTTGGGGACTGTAAATCGATGGGGTTTATGGGGTGAACATTTTGTACGGAAAGTTTTCCGCTTTGACGCTCAAAACATAGAATCTCGCAATATCTTTCCTAACAAATTTCTATAGCTAAAAAAAAAAAACAATTTAGTAAATTGAAGCGCTGTTACGCGCTTAACGAAAAGATTACGGAAATACAGTATTTCCAAAATCCGCAGATTTACATTTCCTACTTTATTCTAATGGAGAATAATTAAACAGTTGTAGTTTGCTTGTTTATTGATATATATTTTATCACATTTGGAGAATTTAACTTTTTTATACTAAGCTATTAACATTTCAATAAAAAGGCATTATTGCTTCCCCTCTAGCAGCCTCTGACATATAAATCTGACATTTTAAAGGATACATATTTAGTGAAAATTGAAAATCCGACCAGGCAAATGGAAAGTCGCTTAGTCTGCAGGTTTGCTGTGGCGGGGGTACTTTTTGACTTGCCATCGTGATATTTTTCATCGTAATGTGAACGGCTAAATTTTACTATCATTTATTAAACATTGGTGTTCCGTGTTTACATAAATTATAACAAAACTCTCCATTCCTGTGAAGGTTGCGTCATAGTATAGAAAACTATGTGTTTGCAATAGTCTGATGAAAATTTTGATATTTCTTACTTTTTTACATATAGTACTCTATTGTTATGTTTCAGATTTAACCATAACCAATATTATAAACTTTAATTTTGTTATTCTATACAACATTTGTGTCCTTATTATAGTTTATAGAGAATTGTTTATACAATATGGTTTATACAGAAATTAACTAATCAAGAATACTACGAACTTTATATGTAACTTTGGACCAATTAGGAATGTTAAAATCATAACTTTAACTGTAAATACACTTGTAAACAGTACTGTATATTTATTTAAACACAAAACTGTTCTATTAAATAAATATATTTTGGAACCTTTCAGTAATTATTGAATCTCAAAACTTCAACGTACACTTAACTGTATTTAAAATGCTGAACCGACTACCAATTAGTTAATAGCCACCTAGTAAACATAAATTATTCTAAAAGTTTTAAGATTATATCAAGCTTAAACAAATAAGAAAAGTATTTAATGGTTAAGTAATGGCTAAACCCAGTTTTGTCACGCAAAAACAAAAAGCCTTTGGTTTGGTGTAACTTCGTTTTTCGTATTCATACAAACTTCTCAAGTAGTTTTTCATAGTACTGTATTTTTATGAATGTCCTCTTCAACAAACGGTAATATAAATTACGTACCAATGTTAATCATTAAAATCATTGTATTATTTAATATTGTAAATTAATATTGCAATATTTAAATATTGTAAATGAAAATGGGTAAATAAACTATATCCAATATACATTAGTTAGTTGACAAATAAAAACTGAGGCTTACGAATTTTTCTATTAGATAGCTGTAAAAAAATGCATTACCGAATCGACACCTGTACAAATTGAATAAAATACAAAAAATGCACAATAATTGTGCATATTCATTTGTTTGCTGTCTTCGGTCTTACCAATTGAATTTCAATGTACTGTTTTACTAATTATTAGTAAAACAGTACATTGAAATTCAATTGGTAAGACTGAAGACAGCAAACAAAGCACTCATTTTATTGGTATAAAAAATATGTAACAATTAACATAATAATCTGGCTGAACCGGAAAACAGGAGTACCAACTCTTTCCTGGACCTTGTAGTGTTGGTTATAATATTTAATCATGCGTTGAGTTGGCAATACTGTAATTAGCCAATGTTCCTTACGACCAGGATCAATAAATAGCAAGGTTGATATTGAATATGGTTCCAAATTGAACATAAAAAAGAAAATGGCCGAAAAATAAACGCAGAGTATATGAACAAGAACGGATCAAGATTTTCGCGAAATGTTGTCGTAAGTTAATGAATGTCTATTAAAATTATATTATTTCCTGTTTTTTGTAAAATATAACTACATATTCTGCAATATAATTGCATGTTTATATAAATTCAAACGAAATATATATTTTTTAGAAAAACGTTAAAACGACATACAGTACTAAAACGAATATATTATACATAAAATAATATATACATTTTAAAGATAATACACATGAATGAAATCAATTTTTTTACAAAATTATCATATTGACTAAACTTAATAAATAACCAAATGTAACAAAAAAACCCGTATTGTATGATTTAGAAACAAATATTTTTTAGATGGTACTTTTGTTAATCTATATATAAAGTAATCATTAATATGAACAAGAGAATCATAAAGCAATTATGTATTTACTATAATAAGCATCATAACACCGATGAACTTTGTATTAGTTATAAGAAATGCAATAATAAATTAAAGATACGAATCAATTAGTTCTTTTTAGTTAAATCTCTAAAAATGAATTATTCAACAGTTAAATCTATTTATCATGAGTAGGCCTATACAATATCCAGAACCTCATTATAGCACAACAGTATTTAAATGTAGACTACATAATATATATATTAATTATAATTCAATATCTTTGTAACAAGGTATTTTAAACGAAAATAAAAATAGCAAATTCAATTCAATTAAAAAATTCTAAAAACAAACTTTCTTACCGGACTTTATTGCTTAATTGTATTGCTATTTAGGTAGTTTTTCCACCTGAAGACGGATTTCAATACCTGAACAACCGTACTTGGTGCAAAACAGCTGTAATATTTTCAATATCGTGATTTATAATATAAACTACAGTATAACAAAAATGTTTAGAAGTATAATAAAATAGCCTACTGTAATAACACTATAATAACAATACCACTTTAATACGATAAATGTATGTAGATAAGCTTCGTTATGATAAAATAATATTACCAATAAAGAAGTTATTCTTTTACGGTTTTATTTTGTTTTCGTTCCGATTTTTTTAAGAATGCGCTGTTTCAATTATGTGCTATATAACCACTTGATGTTTCTATCCTAAAGAAGTATTTACATTTCTTACTTGATAAGTTTTTTAATACATTTTTATTTGAATAAAAATCGTCAATTTTGTTATTGTAGTTCTCTGTAACTATGACGGAGTATCTAAGGCACTGATTAACATCCAATAATGTCATATTTTTTAATAAAAATGTTTATTTTGCCGTAAATACAATAACTAACAATTACCAAATTAGGAAAAAGGAATCAACAATTATTAAGGAAGAAATAACTCCATCAACACACGATCTTAAACCGCCGAGTCCGATTTATTCGTTGTATTGAATTGTTATTTTAATGTCCACTATTTACTTTTTCACTCTCCTATTACACAAACGCATTCGCACAATGCACTCATAAATATCCGGGATGGTCCCCGAATTTCACTTTTCAGTGCAAGTGGCGATGTTGGCCGAGCGGCGCCGGAGTTGGCCGAGGTAGCAGTGAGTCAGTGGAGCAGCGAGCGCGCCGCGACAGTCGGGCGTTAGACGCTATGCCGTACACCACTGTGCCGAACTACGTCTAGGTGTAGACGCGACGCGAGTGTATCAGTGACATCGTCATGGAAGTGGAAGCCCCTTTGGATCTTAGTGTAGCCTCCAGGCTGAAGATGGAGTATTGTACAGACGATTCCGAGGACTCTGACCACGGCAATGGCAGCGGGGACCCCAACTGTAAAGCTTACAAGAAGTCGCTTATGAAGAGATATTGTGAGTTTAATTGTTTTATTGTGTTTGAAATTCAAATGTCCTTTCAAAACAGTAGGGATTCGGTGCAGTAAATGTATACGCGAATCTTAATAAAATCACATCAAGGAAACTAGTAATTGTTTGTAAATTTAAAAGAAAAAAAAAACTTAAAATATTTAAATTATCATTTTGGTTTAGACACGTTTAGGATGGACATGACAATGATTAATTACAGTTAACACAAGGCCGGAAAAATATAGCTAAATATGCAGATCAAAAATATTTTTTAATATTTGAACAAAATATTTAAATTCAGCATTCTTCTCGAAGACAGTTGGATGCGTGGTGTAGCCAATTTAACACAAATAACTATTGTTTTATAAAATATTAATTAAATTTTATTTACATTTTTAAAATGATGTTGAAAAATCAGTAAGTTTAGCATTAAAGATTTTACAGTTAAATAAACAAATACTAAACAGTATCTAAATGTTTGTGTTAGGACATAGCAAATGTTTTGCGAATAAACAAAAAAATCACAAAAAATAATCATTTATTCTAAAATTTTAACGCAAACACTAAAACCGTATGTGTAGTAATTTACAAAGGTAATCAATACAAGGTGTAGACTAAAGTGTAGTGCGGCGGGAGGAGGGGGGCGTACCAGGAAAACACTCACTTATTCCCCGGAAATCTCATCTCTTGGTTGTTTGTGAAATAAAAAATATCAAGTGCCGGTATAATATCACTATAACACTAGAGTGTGTATTTGTGGTGCATTATAAAATAAAAAATCACGTGCAGAGTGTAGTTAACATAATGATAGGTTAGAATGGTCGATTTCCCTATATTAATGGTAAATAAAATATTAACAAATCAAACAACCGTTATATGTATTAAGTTGCGTGTATTCGACACAATTTATGCAAAGTGAACAACACAATCGCAATGGATAAGGTAAATACAACGAATAACTAAGACGGGGGGGGGGGGGCTTAGCATGTGGGA